TATATGTATTAAATTGCAAAGACACTTTACACTTTACACTTTACAGTCCTGTGCCGGCTGCGTCCAGTCGTCCACTGACAGGACTAAAATATGTAGGTGCCCGGCCCCCCCCCCCGGGCTTCCCCACACCAATCACCAAGCCCACCCAAGGCCCAATCCCCCCACACAACAGGAGAGAAGAAGCGTGGACGACTGGAGTCATTAAACATCTGGACGAGAGTGGACGTTGGACTCTTGGAGTTGAAGTTGGGGCCCGTGCCCCAAGTCCATTTGTTGTTGTTTTTTTAATAACAAAAACCTCATTTGTTTTTTATAACAACAAAACAAAACAAATCTATGTAATTATAATACATTTAGAAGGCTAAATTAAATTCTAAAATATCTATGTAAATAGCAAAAAAAGAAAAAGACTGCTTAGTTCTCACTCTAAGAGTCAAAGTCTCTAAATAGTCACTATTTACTCTCTAGAGTAGAGAATCACAGAGTTGAATTTCTTTTTTCTATAAACGTTTACTATATCGTCTACTCAAAGCAACGTTTTTTGACGTCAACCTTTTTGAGATTAGTAGTAAAATAGCCCCGACTCCCGGAACGGAATGATCCGGAGTGAACCAGAGTGAAATGGACTCCCGAGCCAAGAGCAGTTTTAAAATGCTCAATATGTACATGATACAATATAGATACTCGACTCTCTACTAGAGATACATACTGTTTTGTTCTTTTTTATCTGAAGAGTGAAGTGTGAAGTTCCTAAACACGGCTGACGCCTAACGCCTATAGCCTATAAGTTATACGTTATGTAGTTAAGTTGAACGTTAACCGCTATTTTTCAATTTTTAAACAAACGGTTTTAAAAAATAATCTCGAGAATAAATGTCGAAATCGTGGATTTTGCACTTCAGAATTACACCTGTATTCAACAAAATGGAATATAACTAAAATTCACCGATGAAACACGCTATATACATTTGCTGGTATAAAGGCGCGCAATTTTAGGACATAATATATGACCTAGAAAGGGTTGAACGGTCGTTCACCGATATATTTTTCAAATTATAAACGGTGTAACGTAAATGAAACTTTTTGACGTTAGGCTGACGCTGACGGGCGTGACCGTGACGGCACACACATTCAAGCTTGCTTCAGGACTCGAGTCTTGAACTCTCTCGACTCTCGACTCTCGACTCTCGACTCTCGAAGTCTCGAGTCTCGGCAGCTTGACATAGGTCACAGGCTCACAGCAATGACAGCAGTGAGTGAATATATGTAAAAATGAAACGAAAAACTAACAAAGTATTTTTTTATTTTAATAAAAATAATTGAAAAAATAGCTGTGGTTGACTGGTGAATGTGGGATTGGGCGGTGGCACTCCGTGCAGTGGTGGGTATCCGACGGTCCAACAGTGTGAGACTTGTGAGTCGTGAGACTGCCATCTGTCATAGTGCCAGGTGTCAGACCAGACGTCAGTCCGATACCGTGGGCGCGAGTTCATCCTCTCGGCCTCAGTCGGAGGCTCGGAGCCCTTGTCTCAGCCCTCAGGCACCTTCAGCCGGTTAGCCCTCAGTCCCTCATATGCCCAGGGCTTAGGGCTTAGGGCTTCGTTATTTAGCCCTCGCACCTAGGCCTCGGCCCTCAGCGGAGCCAGGTCTGAACTCTGATCCATCTGATCGCTTTTCAAGCCACTTCGGCTGATGGCCTGATGAGGACTATTTCAGTGACTCAGTCCAGTTGACCACTCTGAGTCTCTGACCACTGGGCAGTGGGCACGGTGAAACACTTCATTCTGAATGAGGCAATGACTCATGACTCATGAGTCCTGAGAACAACCATAAAAAGATTAAATACCGCCATAGTTCTATTTTTAGTTCATTGGCTAAATATTAATAGTCTAAACATTTTATTGTTACAATGACACCCCATTCGCCCGTATTAGTTTCAGGAGAGTGAAACTGAAACAGAACAATCACTTTTTTAAACAATGATTCCCCGATGCATTCATTATTTCATTAACTTTTTTCAAATGAGCGATGACAAAAAAATATCAATACAGGTTTCTTTAGAATGTAGATTGCTCATTGCAGGGTTTTAGGCCAATAGGCCATGTACTACAGTGAACATGTACTACAGTGAACAGGCTGAATCACATGATGGCAGAAGGTATATATAAGAAAGGTGAGTCGACCACATTTTGAACACTCGCATTTTATTTTTAAATCTCCTAAATATCAAACTTCGTTAGCGATTAGGTTTCGTTCTAAAAGCAGCTGAAATGTTACGCAAGCATGGCTATATTTCACTTGCTCTTTGCCTGCAGGCAACTATTAAAGTAGCTTGTGCAGTTACTCCTCCCGTAAACGTCGATCTAGCCAATTCCACTGAGGCAGACTTCAGTCCTATGGCTCGGATTGTGGGTGGAGATGTCGTAGAGGAAAGAATACCCTGGATGGTGTCTATAAACGCTCCTTCATACGGGTCTTTCGGTGCACATTATTGCGGGGGTACGTTAATCAGTAACGACTGGGTACTCACGGCAGCACATTGCTTAGAAGATTACGGCAGTCAAGCACTATACCATACCATAGAGATTGGAAAATCTAGTCAATATTCGCAAGATGAGATGCACACATCCGGCATATCACAGATAACGTGCCACGAGGACTTCGATAGCTACTATCTGCAAAATGATATATGCTTGCTGAAATTATCGAGTCCTGCTCCGGATACTATTCAAGTGGCCAGAATCAATTTCGACCCAGCAATCCCGGCTGTGGGTGATCCTTTATCGTATATTGGATGGGGATTGATGAATGAACAAGGCAGTGTACTGCCTGATCAGCTGAGGGGCGTGAGTGTCGATACGATTGATACACTTCTCTGTAGTAGGGTGTATGGTGAGTTGGTTACTAACAAAAACATCTGCACTTATAAGCTTGGCAAGGATTCGTGCCAGGTAAGGATGAGTGATATGCATCGGTACTCTTGTGTTTTATTCTGGTTCTGGGCCGGTGTATCTGGGTAGTCTGGTGGTTGCCTCCATGGTGCTTTTGCTGAATACTGGATGTACACTGAATTAGGCGTGTAATTACGTCGTGAACTATGTTCGTTGTTCCTTTCATTTCTCTTCTGTAGTAGCTGATGTTTTAACTCTTCATCTCGCACTTTAAAAACGATCAAATATTTTAGGGTGATTCAGGCGGACCTTTGATTGCCCCAGGTGCAGATGGTACTCTAGCCAGTGGTACAGTAGTTGGCGTCGTCAGCTTCGGCGAGGTGAGTTCAAGGGGTCCCACTGGGTTGTGCTACGAATGTTTGATTAGGATATGTGTACATTTAATCTTCTTCTATGCATCTTCTGGTGTCGCAAACCCACTATAAAATAATACTATCAAGTTTTAGTGAGAATAACGAATTTGAATATTATTCTTTGCCTATCTAATACAATTTATCTTGCATCTGTTCTCGTTGTAAGTGAAGAATAGACTGTCACTCATATTCTTGTTTTTTTATTATCACAGGGCTGTGCGCGACGTAATTATCCTGGTGTAAATAGCAGGATTTCTGCATTTCAAGATTGGATTGAGGGTATTGTGACCGGGGTCTCCATTCCAGCAATCCCTGATAGAGTCGCTGTCGCTTCACCCGACATCGTGGACGGGGAGGATGTTGTGGCGGTTCCCAATCCTGTACCACCAGTCACAAACACAAACCCGCCTGTAATCACTGTGGTTTATATCAACGACGACCAGCCTCAAGTTACAGGAAATGATACGGAACAGGTGATATCTGTGATATCGTCTGAGGACGTTAGCATCTGGGATATTTTTAATGGCATGTTGAGTGACATATTCTCACGATCTGCCACGTTAATGGATCGTGCAGAGATACAGAGCAGCGTAGCGCAGTTGGCGGACATACAGAAGAAGATCGCCGCCGAGCTGGATGTGCTTACCAGGAAGTTGGATGGCTCCGAGCTTGGTAGATGATTTTCAGAGTGTATTGGATTGTATCATCTGCTTGATTAAGAGCCTGCCCAGATTATATGAGTGAATTTTTTCTGCTCCTACTCATCTGTGAAACTGCCTGAGGCATTCGTTTATTCTTCGGCCAAAAAGCAGTAACCACCCAAATGGTATATATTACACTCATTGAGTCCGCAGCTTGCTGTAGAGTGTCACTGTTCATCGTAACATTACACGGTACTCAACTAAGACCTTCTGGACTATGGTTTGGCAATGGAGCCTTAGAGGCCCGCTGACAAGGTGCAAGGCTCGAAGAACTTATGGGAGATTAAATACAGCCCATTATAGGAGCGTACTTGCCGCGTTGTCGCAAAGCGCCTACGCAGTGGTATATTGGACAAGTTCTACTGTGTGGAACTACTCCCGGTTTCAGAACGAACACTTGAGAAATATTTAACGAGAGGAACAAACTGAAAGTAGATAAAGCATCGTTCCATGGATTGAACGATTGTAAATAGCACAAATAGTCTCTTGAATTGAACAAAAGCACATCATACGCCTGTGGCTGGTATGGTAAAGACATAATGAAATAAAATGACAAAACTTTACTCGTGTATAGGACTTTTTTGCATCCGCAAGTCTGAGCCTAGTTCGAATTGAAATCGCATAGATAGTCTCTATGATGCTTAAGTATACATTTATCATGCGAGGATCTAAGTCATCGACTTCTATTCACGAGCGTGCTGCTTAGCCACCTTTTTCTGACACCGATAGTATTGATTTACTGGCGCTATCAGTCAGTCCAACTTCAAGATCCAGAGCACAACAAACTTCTAGGAGCTTATTATTAAGGGTGACACCATAATGGGTAGAACAAGATATATGTTGGGAGCAAACTACCTTACAAGTCTGAAAGAGAATCAGTACATATGCTACCATGTCGAATGCAGTCCAGCTCAATTGTTACAAACGATAACGTTGCTGGAGCACCACTGTGGAAGGTAGTTCTTAAAACTTCCGTGCAATTCATCTGGAGACTTTGATATGCAAATCTAGAACATTAATTATACGTTATATAAAAAGAATACAAACTGAATATCACGAGAAATTGTGCGCAAAGTTCTCTAGATACTGAATGTACTTCAAGCTGAGCAGATTGGACAACTTTAACCGGAGAACAGATCAGACAGCGATTACCTAACCCCTCATGCACCGTGTGTGCGAAGCTGAAAAATATATGCAAAATTTTAAAAAAGTCACCGGTATCCGATTTTTATTGAATATATAACGAAACAGTATAGAATTGACAAGGAAAGCTATACGCCAAGACGAACAGCACAACGATCTGGTCAGCCGAAAGATGGTGATTGTACAATTAATCAGTTGTAAAATCATACACATGGACGTGTTATGCATCATTCCAGAGTCGGTGGCTTCTTCGGTACATTTCAATATTCACACTATAGAGCGAGCATGACCCAATGCGGCGTATTGCAGCAGTTCTCTGGGTCTATGCAAGATCGAAGCAAAGCCTGCTCAGTATAGCATCCGCAAATCCAGATACCGAGTAGGTATTACAAAACGCCTCCTTGACTATGTCTTCATCACCCAACACTGCAGGTGCATTAGAATGCACATCACCATTTGTACGACAACAGGTCCCATCGACACTTCTGAAAAATACCAAGATCAGATGTTTTGCATTCCAGACTGATACTACCATATGTTATTATAATTTATATACACGGAATGACTCGGGTACATAAACATAACTGTATAGCAACACTAGATGGACATTAAAAGCCTACACAAACGGACGCTCAGTAAGATGTTACATGGTATAAATAAGTTGATAACACTGATAGTAAACAAACATAACACTGTCAAACCGTCATATCCGCACACAGCTTAAATGTACATCGACACCATGGACTTAAAAAAATTACATAGCAACCAGATACTGTTCACTATCACGAGTACTTACAGACCATCGCTTCCACATTCCGGACGCAACCCATCATTTATTTATATTTCATTCATGTACAGCAAATGATTTAAGCGACACTTCCAGCATTTGAGGCAATACGAGGCCACATATCAGCGGTCTCCTTAGCAACAGGTCCAGTGATGGCGGATCCTGCAGCACACAACCCAAAAGACGGGAATATATAAGCTAAGCTTCTTGTACAGAGAATACATTCGGCACTCGCTCGAACTTGCACCAATGTTGAGCTATCATAATAAATATCACAATCAAATAACTGTGCATCACGCATTGTGTTCAACACACACAATTCAAACAATAGACGCGCAGAGTAATCCAAAATACATAAATTAACAGCCAAAAGTATGTAGAAGTTCAGAAGAGTAACTAGTTTGTCTCATGAATTTTTCGAAGAGCTGGGTTAAATAGCGTACTAAGTCATCATTTAATCCTACATGCTTGGCTGGGTTACGACAAAGGTCCACGTAGGTCTATACTCAGTACTACACATACACTAAGAACAACCATCAACCACAGTAGTCGATAGGTCTTGATATATTTTGAAGCTTCAATGGCACGCCATGGTGTGTATACATTACCCAAAGTCGCAAACTTCTTATAGCTGACATACCCTTCATCTCTCCCTTGTTGTTAACGATAACACCGGCGTTGTCCTCAAAATAGATGAACACACCATCCTTGCGGCGGAATGACTTGCGCTGACGGATGACAACTGCCTGCATAACCTATATCAATGAACGAGATACAAAGTAAAAAAAATTACATGATATGTACAAGCGAGATATGATCAAGTTTGGCCAACAGATAAAAATCTACTTTTTATAGAAGTGCACGATGCATATTGATTACATGCAACACTCTTCGTGTATAGAATTACAAAGCACAAAACAGTCGGTCAACGTACACCCAAGCCAATTTTGTGTAAGAGTTCAGAACTGTAACTAGTTAGTCTCATGAATTTTTCGAAGAGCTGGGTTAAATAGCGTACTAAGTCATCATTTAATCCTACACTTGGCTTGAGTGCGATAGTATACACAAAATATTAACCATATTCGTATACCATAATACAAGACTATTATATGCGTGCAAGACTACATAGTCACACAAAATGCACTCCTACTATTGCATCCCGACAGTATTCGTGTATACTAAACATACCTTCTTACGAAGTTCGGGTTTTCCCTTCTTCACGGAAGCAACGAACATGTCCGCTACACCAGCAGCGGGCAATCTGTTGAGACATGCCTTAACACCGAATACGGCGATGATGTACAAGTTCTTGGCTCCGGAGTTATCAGCACAGTTCATTACTGAGGCCACTGGCAGACCAAGTGCCATACGGAACTTGTTGCCCTGGGCTCCTCCACGTCCTATTTTTAGTTGCCATGGCGTACGTTTCGAGATTCAATTAAGGGCAATATAAATCTACACTTAATCACTATACTTGTTTGAAAAACGATAAATTGACATGTGGAAGCATACTACTATTACATATACACACACATATATATATATGTGTGTGTGCGTGTTTAAGAGACAGATAGAGAGAGTACGTATGTGTGCAAATACATACATAATAAGCATGTACATATACAGACATACATAATACATACTTGGATCATATATATATATATATGTATATACCTATACATGCCATACATACGCAATATACACACACAATAGAAATATTCATATATTTACATATATATGTCCATGTATGAATATACATACATATGTACATACATACATATAATCATATTATATATATACATACATACATATATATATATACATACATATATATATATATACATACATATATATATATATATTATACACTGAATATTAACATGTAATATATACATACTATTGTAAACATGTACATGTACATACATAAACATATACACACACATGTATATATATATGTATATATACATATGTGCATGTATATATATATATCCATGTTTGTGTGTCAATGCTCGTGAATGTGTTTATGATTCAGAGCTCAGCAGCGATAGTCAACCATCACCAGGCATAGTAGTTATATCAACCTCAGAAAGTGAGTAACTATGATATTACGTACGCATATACTAGTATATGAAATTGAAGGTGTATACTTTCACTATGCTTAAGCACCCCAAAATGGTGATCCACATTTTTGTACACGACCAAGCTTCCCGATTTCTATAGTTGTAGCTGTTCTGTATAGTTGCTGTTTTGACTGTTGTTGTATACGACTGATCTCAGTATAACATCCCAGCTGGCTGTATTTCAGTGTAACTATTTTCGTTGTCGAATCTTATCTTAGATACGTCATCTATGCGCCGACCAGGTTGCCAAAGTTCCCAGTCATTCCACCAGCACTATTTTTCTGTTGAACTATTACCCCATTTGCTTTACATGTCTCTAATGCTACAGTACATCTGTGTGTGTGTGTGTATGTGCATACATATTGAATTGCATCCGTATACACAGACCACACAGGCCGGTTAGCTTCGCTTACCTCTCTTAGACATGTTTGCTATTTGCTGGGGTAAAAGAAAGATGCGTAAGCCGTGTGAAGTTCATTTTGTACAGTTCATTCAAAATGGGAAATTACACATGTGGTATTTGGGTGGATGCTCATCACCCGGGACACAAAATAGAGGGCAGGTACCGAACATTAAATAGTTGGAGACATGGTAGGTACTCGACTGGGAGGATCAACAAAGAATGTAGTAAACTAGAATACAATTGATATGATACCCCCATAATAAACTTACTAACACAAGCTTTAAATGTAAGAAAGAATTTTAAATAACGACAATTTTTATATATATGTTGCAAATTATTTCTTTGGCGGTCTTGACTCTTGAGTCTTGACTTCTCTTCAGTTGACTTCCTCTTGTGACTCTTTTTTTTTTCAAAACAAAATAACATTGTAAATACAAACCGTATGTGGAAATGAAATATGTATCGCCTTATTATTATGTGACAATATGGTGGTACCATACAGTGACATACTCTGTACGCAATTGATAGCATATTCTTAGATGCGGTGTAGACTGTAGACATATAAGGAATTATTAAGTGTTATAAATCTCTATCAGCTTATCTTGACTTGATGGTTATTATTAGGGACCATAAATTATCTAGTCGTATAGAATAGTCATTTGTTCGTAAACAAGACGTAAAATGTGAATTACCAGTTGCGCTTTGGGAAATGGCTTATTGTTACTGTAAAAGACACTGGAAGCATGCCCTAAATGTGAAATATATTCATGTCTTTCAGTGTTGAAGAGAACAGAGCGTTCGAACGTACAGCGTGGACGACCAAGCTCAAACGCATATTTATATTCGGTTCATGTTCTCGCTCGCTGATGTAAATACATCCATCACCACTATGATTCATCAGTTTTGGATGATACTCTGTGAGAGTATTTCATGGTGGAGGTTGATGGGACAGGTGCGTTGTCCAGTCGATTCACCAGATTCCGTACAGTTACTTGTCGTGAACATACGAACGAACGACGAAGGTATACACAGTGATAGCATCACGAAGGTTCCAAATTCACTTAGAATTATCATCATATCTAATATATCGAATTTTTAGAGTTGTTTAGACGTACGGTATGACGGGTTTTTAAATTTTGTATGTTTATCAACTAGATTGGCAGGTATATTGTCTCTATTTTGTACTATGAAGAGCCTGGGTCCCATCCGAACTCATCCAAAGTGAAGATACAGACTAAGACGTCGAGGAAAAATTCCTGACCAATGAGACACATTTCCGTTTCATTCAATGAATAAGATTCACTGTCGAGATATTGCATTACACGGTGCGCAAATTCTTGACCAATGAGACGCATTTCCGTTTCATTCAATAGATAAGCTTCACTGTCGAGATATTGCATTACACGGTGCACATCCCACACTAATACACCAACTAATCCTAAGCTCCGATTTTCGTATGGACGCGAAGAGTGCCTGAATATATATATATAATATTTCTATCTATAATATATATAAATATGGGTGTGTGTGTGTGTGTGTGTGTAAATATATATATATTTATATAATATATATACAAATATAATATATATAATGTGTATATGTATATAATGTAATATATATATATGTGTATATGTATTTATAAATATACATATATATATATATGTGTGTGTGTGTATATATATTCATATATAATCAGACATATAAAGCTTGTGTGGGTGGGTGTGCAATAAAACAAACGTTTCAACAACTGCAATCAATCGTGGTCCCAATATTTTACATTTTATTGTCAAAGTTTAACTTTTATCATCCCCCCCCTTTGATCTGTACTTGCATCTGTATATGAATAGCCATGGTTAGTTAGGTATTTCTCCACGGCAGGACGCAAACGCGCACGCCCTTGTACGGAGTGGCGACCAGTGCCAGTGATTATACAAATGTACTCATTTGACTCAGCCGCCCTCCCTAACAGTCCTTCTAAGAGCTCCAATGCTGCACACAGAGGATTGTTTATAATGAGTTAGCTATGGTTAATCTTGAGATGAGATTGCATCTAGAGGTATACAGGTAGATTTCAAGAGATACCAAAACTGTTTTTAAGTGTGCCGTGCTTCTGAAGGGACGCTGTGACCAGTTGTGCATGAAGTGTTTTACCATATTAATAAACTTGGGTTTACAATATTAATATACTTGGGGCCTCCTGCCTCTGCTATGATCATTTCTTGCAAGATATAGGCATGCGCACGACTCGATAAAGCCAGTGGACTTATCGTTTACTGCCCCTCGTTACACTCAGCATCAGTTCATCCCAGGTAGCCAGCATGGTAAACGAGGTCGACAGCGATATCAACGCACCACGTTTTCTACACACTATGTAAGAGCTGTACAGTGTGAGTCACGGCATGTATCTGGACCGCGACAGACAACCCGACGCACGCCAGCTTGTATAGTACACTCTGTCAGTACTAATTAGACGCACCTCGGCTGATACCAACCGTAACCGTCGGCCTCTATATTGTGTCGAAACATACTTTTGTACCTAACACATTCGAGATAACACGACGCATAACCAATACACTATACAGTAAGAGCTATAAACAATGGTTGGTCTACTCGTTCTCAGACTTGCAACCCGTTACAGCCGACCTACAATGACATAAACTCCTCACGAATGTGATGTTCGGTACATACCTTCTGACACGTGCAAGCCGTGGAGGTCGACCTCTGGGCTGTGTCGCGTGTTGCGTGATGAGAATATCAGTTCGCATGCCTCCCGCTGTAGTTTCAGCGCCAGATCGTGATGCATACGTCCTTCTTTGCTAAATGCCTGTGATATGGGTAGCGGTGTTAAGACTAGTCAGCGATCTGGAGAGGTGTGCGTGATTGTCCCGAGGGTTAGTAGTGGAACAGAGCCCATTCTTTGCTGACAAGCGATCATTCAATACGTAAGGGCGAGTAAATGAACATGACATGGAGGTATGCAA